CTGACTGGTTTTCACTGGCCTCTGACCTCACTGACTGGTCTTCACTGACCTCTGACCTCACTGACTGGTCTTCACTGGCCTCTGACCTCACTGACTGGTCTTCACTGGCCTCTGACCTCACTGACTGGGCCTCTCTGCTGTCCGCGCCCACAGAAAGACCTGAACACGGAGGAGTTTGGTCCCACCATGGCTGACCTGGAGAAGCAGATCGCGGTGCACAACCTGCTGCACAAAGAGCTGGAGTCCTACAGCTCGCAGCTTTGCGTCAGCTCCGCAGGAAGCAAGGTGAACACACACTCCATGTGGAAGGGTCGACACACACTCATCATCTCATCTCTGAGAATGAGAGGGACGGGTCTTTAAGAATAATCCTTTCTGTATGTTATATATAATTTCCTGCCCCATGCTTCCATATTAAAACTGTTTCTTTCATGTCAAACTTGCTGACTTTGTGTTTCTGCTTCGTTTTCAGGACAAATATTTGAGCCTGAAGAAACAGTACAACAACCTGGTGGTGAGTGGGTTTGTTCTTTGAGTTCCAGCTTGATCTCAGCTCATTGGAAAAAAGATGATCCTAAGTTTTATCAAATGATGCAGCAGTTTTCCAGATTTTCTGTGACGCAGTAAATCTGGAAAACGTACACTTTCAGTGTAAATAAAACACTTTTGTTTGCGTACTTTACCAAACAAACTGTACCAGAAACAAATTAAACCTCTCAGTCATCTCCATCCTAAAGAGCTCTTGTATGAATATCAACCAAATTGTAGTCACTTTGGTTGTTTTCTCAAACACACAAACACACGTGGTCGTTGGTAGACTCTCACAAATTTAGCTTACAACCTTTAAATTTAACAACACGTACAGTACTGTGCAAGTTTTGTTTTCACTTTGATTGTTTTTACCAGTCTTTGAGACGTTACAATGAGTCCCTTTAAAGACAAACATAAATCTATTCTTTATTATTTTCATTGTTTCTTTGGTTTCATTATTTCTCCCCCAATATGTTTCTATGAATCATCCTATTTACTCCTTTTCTTTAATCATAGGAGTTTAGACCTCAGCTGTCTGTTCCAGAACAACTCATTTGTTTGTTTGTTTCCTTTAGGACAACTCCAAGTGGCGTCGCCACTACCTGAACAGCTTGTACGAATACATGCAGGGCTGCAACAAGGAACTGGTCTTCCTGGGAGAGGAACAGGACAAGATCAAGAAGCAGGACTGGAGCGATCACATGGCGGACCCGCCGGACGTTCGCAGGCAGTACGAGGTCAGAAAAGACTGAACGCTGCCGTTTCACAACACGCGGACCTTCATCCGGGTTTATTAAGGTTTTAAATTTAGGTTATTGAGCCTGTAAACACTTTATAAATAAAGGGCCTGTCATTCCTTGAAGGACTGCTTATTGACTGCCACTTTTCAGGGCAGAGATTAAAACGAAGATGTTCTTATGATGAGAAAAGACCGGACAGAGTTCTGAACGTTTTGGCCAAATTGAATCAATAATGTTGGACCCAGTAAGTTAGCTCTCAGAGTAAGTGTTGAGGATAAAAAAGTTTTAGCTTGCTGTCTGCGAAATAATTAGAGTTAAAGCTGTTATCTGTACAGTTGGGTCGATGAGCTGCAGCGGACATCTTGAATTGTATTGACTCCAAAATATAAAGAGTTGTAGAAGTATATCCAATGATTACTTCCTGAGAGTTTCATCAAAACATGTCCAGTGGGTCATGAAATATTTTGCTAACAGACAGACAGTGTTTACTCTTAGACTATCACCAAGGTTTGAGGCAAAGATATTGCACGTGTTGTAATTTACTCTCAGCCACTACCACATCAAAGTTTAGCTCATTATTTATAAAATAGGTTGAGCTACATCTAGTTTTGAGTTTTCTATGGTCACTTTGCTGTGGCAGACATCTTGACTTGAAATCCCCCCAAATCTAAAACAGCTGTAGCTGTACATCCAATGATTACTGTTTATCAGTTTCATCATGATCTGTCTAGTGGTTGATAAGATATTTTGCTAACAGACAGACAAACAAACAGCGGCATGGGTAAAATAATTATCATCCATTCACAATGATGGCTAACCTTTAATAGACATTTAGAAAAGCAGCATTATGAAACATTGTTCATAAATTGTAACTGGCTCAGTGTGCTTTACTTTAAAATCATCAACGTAAATGTAATTTTTATTAGTTGTCCAGTTTTAAACTACATTTGTTTACTCGTCCAAACCCACTGACAAATACTTTATATGAAAATGATGAACCTGCAGAGAACAGATACATGTTGGCTCACTATTTGGCAAGAAACAAGTTTTGATCTAATGCCGTTTAATTGCTTATTAAGGGTTTATTAAGTTTTTTACAGCTTAGTTAATAACCACATTATTAATGATTTATTTATAAGAGCACCCTATTAGAGTTGATCCCAACAAATTAGATGTTTTAGATCCATTCTGCCATTGAAAATAAAACAGATTTTCTGATAAAAGCTACAGTGAACAGAAGGATTAGTGCACGAGACGATAAAAAGGAAGCACATTTCAAACATGAACTCTCTTCTTGTGAATGTTCACATCAGCCTCTGTTGTATTTCAGATGTAAGAATGAGGTCTTCTTAATCCAGAGCAGCGGAGAGTTCATTTTGGTATCCAAAAGGGGTATTTTACAATAAGGTACACAAAATTTGACTAATTACTAGGGAACGTCTCGGTAATGAATCAGTAACAAATCAGGAGCTAATGGGCAGTTAACCAGTACTTACGGGGGAACACACAGCCAAGCCTTATTAGGGGACTACTGGTTAGTTATTTTCTAAATGAAGAGGAACTAATGGGTAGGTACCAAGGAAACCTGCACCAGTGAGGTCACAGCTCAGACAGTTAAGACGACATCAGTACAAGATTATGAAATTGCTAATCAATGGTAAGAATCCAATAAAATCAGTAAACTGATTTTTGACAATTACGAGCTGTGACCTCACTGGTGCAGGGTTTATTCAGAACCCACATGGAGAATTTCTCTGTTTTTGTGGTAACAAACCAGTAGTCCCCCAATAAGGCTTGGCTGTGTGTTCCCCAGTAAGTACTGGTTAACTACCCATTAGTTCTTGATTAGTTCTTCTTCATTTACAAAGTAACTAACTGTTAGTCCCCTAATAAGGCTTGGCTGTGTTCCCCAGTAAGTACTACTCATTATCTCCTGATTTGCTCCTGAGGCGTTCCCTAGTAGTTAATCAAAATTTGTGTACCTTATTGTAAAGTGTTACCCAGAAAGGTGTGTCTGTCCAGAACAGTTAAATATATTTGTTTTGTATTGTGACCCTCCAGCACATGAAATCTTTGATTTATTCTGGAACAGAATTTCAAGAACAACAGTCTTTTGTCCCACGAGAGTGAGATCAACAGACTCCAGGATGAGGGGGACCGGCTCATCGAGCTGAAGCACCCCGCCAGTGAAACAATACAGGTAACTGGATGTTCACATGTTTCACGGTCTCCAAGCTGAGGATCCAGATGAACTCTTTATGTTTCAATCCAAAAGGCTCAAAGAGACACAGTCAGAAACGAGTGGCAGAAATTCCTCAATCTGTGCATCTGTCAGGAGACACATCTGGACAACGTAGAGGAATACCAAAAGGTGAGCAGAGCAACATGATGGGATTTATTTCATGAAAACAGAAAAGGCTTTAGATGCTTTGTGCTGTTTTTCAGTATCAACTGGACACTCAGCAGCTGTCGGAGACCCTGACCCAACTGAACAACACCCTGGAGCCAAACTCCGTCAGCAAGAAGAGCAGCCCACAGACTCTGCTGCAGCTCGAGGTAAGACGAGGAGGGAAGGTTAAAGAAAATGCTAGAAGTAATGTTTAACGCATATATATATATATATATATATATATATATATATATATATATATATATATATATATTTGCTTTCAAGTCATCTAAACAATAAACGATTTACAAAAAAATTAATTGCAAAAAAATTAACAAATTCTAAAGTTATCATCAGAGTTTTATGTCCTGTCTACACTACATTGGGTATTTTTCAAAACAAAGACATTTTGCTGTGTTTGCTCCTCTCCTCCACACGCAACCAGAGTTTTGAGTGATAAAAGCAGATAGTTTTGAAAATAATTCTCAGAGTGGACACAGAGTGGAAACAGTTGCACTTGTTGAAATATGGAAAAATATCCAGGCTTTAGACAAATGACAAATATCTAAAAAAAAATTGTGAAATACTCATTTCAAGTACTTTATTAAGTCAAATAATCTCAGAACTAACCTGTTAATGCTTCTTTTATTTTTATTCTCTCTTTGATAAAAAAATATCTTAAAACTAGTGCACCTAAACAAGATGAATCTTCTGCATTTAAGAATCATTCGTTTTCCATCTTCAAACAAGACAAAATAAGAGAGCAGAAGAAATCAGGCGTACAGTATACTGTGTACATATGACCTTTATCTGAAATGTCTCTCCAAATAGCAACAATTATTTCAATCATATACATGAATGTCAAGACAAATTTTCATGGTAAACTTATGTTGTGTTCCTATCAGAACTGGTACCAGTTAACTGTGATCAACGTACCTCACATGTTGAAGCAGAACATTTGAGGCACATAGGATGTGCTGATGGAAGACAAAACTCCTGTGTATATACCAAAAGTAAAGAATTTAAATGCAAATGTCAACTTTAAAGCCCTCAGGTCAAAACTTTCCAACACAAACCTGAAAGTCAACAACACCTACCTGGAACTACTTCTCTAAAACTTTTCCACTCTGCCAAGACTTGTGTGTTTGAGCCTGTGGTGCCTTGCTCATGAACATTGTCCTTAAAAACTTCAGTATGAATGGCAGACAGAAGGGTTGCCCCACACTTTAGATAGGTGAGATGCTGGGTGGAGTAGTAAGCCATCAGATACAGCAAACTTTCACCAAGGTTGTCTTTGGCAAACGCGATGAGAGTGGGTTCAGTCGCCATAAGACAGCAGGACCCATCGAAGAGCAAAACAGGGCTGAAGAGATGTCTCCTCTGGAGGTACACAGCTGGAAGTTCTATTGGCTAAAACATAGAAAGGACAAAACATTTCTTCAGGGTACAACAGAGAAACTGAAAAGTTACCAGAGCAGTCCAAATACTTAGCCACAATTATGTTTTGTCCATACATCCACAATGACAACCAGAGATGTGTTACAGAACATATTCATATAATTTGGTTTCTGTAGGTTGACACGTGGAGTACAGACGCCAGATATTTACAATGTTTCTAAATATCTGGTGTCTGTACTCATCCATTTAGTTGGCAGCTCAGAACACCACATACAGAACACCATGGACTTTGTGGACAAGGTGAGGGTTGTCATCATGGAGACTGATGAAACAATGGTCTCTTTTGATGTCACATCACTCTTTACGTGCATTCCTGTTGATGATGCAGTAGAGATGGTCAGTTTAAGATTAAAATCAGACACCACTCTGAGCAGCAGGACCACGCTTTCCACAGAACAACTGTGTCAACTCTTGAAACTGTGCCTGCAGTCAACCTACTTCACATATGGGGAGCAATATTATAGGCAGAAACATGGGTGTGCTATGGGGTCTCCAGTTTCTCCTATTGTTGCCAACCAGTACATGGAGGAGGTAGAAAAGAGAGCCTTGACGTTCTTTTCAGGGACACCACCAAGTCATTGGTTCAGGTATGTTGACGACACCTGGGTTAAAATTAAATCTCAGGAAGTCCAACATTTTACTGACCACATCAACTCTGTGGATAAATACATCAAGTTCACACGAGAAGATGTAAAAAATGGCAGATTGGCTTTCTTGGACTGTGAGGTCTCAGTCTCTGACAGAGGACATTTGCACCTCGCCACCTCAGCATGAATGACAACCTCAGCTGGAGCAACAACACCACCAGCCTGATCAAGAAAGCTCATCAGAGACTCTACTTCCTCAGACGGTTGAGGCGAGCTGGTCTGGGAAGCTCAGTCCTCACCTCCTTCTACAGGTGTGCAGTGGAGAGCATCCTGTGCTCCAGCATCAACGTGTGGCATGGAGGCTGCACAGCTGCAGAAAGAAAAGCTTTGCAGAGAGTGGTGAAGGCTGCACAGAA